CATGATCCAGCATGACCCCCCTCCTCCGCTGAGCCGGGCAGGGAGCGGCCGCGAGGGGGGGGGGGGGGGGAGAAGGAAGCCCAGCCGTCGAGAGTCGACGGGCGCGGGGCGCGCGGGCGCCCTCGGGCACCGGAGGCGGTGCGCAGGAAGTGAGCATTGCCACCGGTGCGGGCGCATAGGCTGCCCGCGTATCGGGCGTTGCTAGAAGTGCCATTGGCCCAAGGTGCCCCCCAGCTTATCGCTCCATCTTGGAGCCCCTGGGGCCCTCTGGGCCTCGTGAGGGGTGCCCTGGAGGCCGTCTGGGCCACCCCGAGAATCCTGGGGGGGACTGGGGCCAGGGGTACTTCTAGCAACGCCCGAGCGTAACGTCGCGCGTGGGGCGCCCTCGTTGCCAGCGTGGCGTGCCGCGCGGGCGGCCCGCGCAGGGCGCCGCGTGAGGTCGCGTGCCGTCTCGTGCAGGACTGGCCCCCCTTCGCCGCTTGGGTAGCGCTTCGCCAGTTCGGGGCCCCAAAAATATCGCCGAGCGCGTTCCACTACTCGCAAAGTGCCTACTCGCAAACGGCCGAACAACGTAAGTCCGTTTTCGATGAAATGTATCGTGGATCCCGCTGCGGATCCAGGCCATCTGCGAGTTGTTACTTTGCGAGTCGTGAAACGCGCTCGTCTAGAAATAGACACCACCACCACCACCACCACCACCACCACCACCACCACCACCACCACCACCACCACCACCACCTCCCTCATCCCCGCCCAATCCCATGAGAGAACACGGGAAAATGAGGGCAGAGGGGGGAGGGAAAACAGAAGCTGTGGTGGTGGCGCACATCATCTCAGGCGATCGCAAACATGGATCAAGGGGGCGTGGATCAGCGACGGGTCCCGTTTCCATGGGAGATCACGGATCTCCGCCGCCGAAGGAGGCGGCACCGGCCGCGTTTTGGGGCTTGAACCTCCCCCGATCCATGGATTTGGCGACCGCGCACCAAAACCATGGATCGTTAATCCATGTTTGCGCGCACCCGACAGAGGAGGAGGAGGAGAAGGAGGAGGAGGGGGAGGAGGAGGAGGAGGAGGAGGAGGAGGAGGAGGAGGAGGAAAAGGAGGAGGAAAAGGAGGAGGAGAAGGAGGAGAGAGAGGAGGGGGAGGAGGCGGGGGAGGAGGCGGAGGAAGAGGAGGAGGAGGAGGAGGAGGAGGAGGACGACGAGGAGGAGGAGGAGGACGAGGAGGGCGAGGAGGAGGAGGAGGAGGACGACGAGGAGGAAAAAGGAGGGGAGTCCGTAGCCATTGGCTCAAGCCGCTCGCGCGGGGCGCCCCGGGGCTCAAGCCGGCTCGTCATGCGCGTCCGGAGATGAAGTTGCTGGAGGTGGTCCGCCGGGAATGGCTGCGGGAGACATGCGGGGCCGTGGGCCCGAGCATGTGTCTCGTGGCGAGCGCCGAGGTAAGGCCTGGGCTAGGCAGTCGGCCAGCAACCTTGCTCGCCGCCTGCGTCGGGAGCGTGCGCGCTCCGCCGACACCCTGACGGTCAGCTGTGCGGTGGACAAGGCCTTCGAGGACATCGGAGGCGGCTTGGACGGCGACATCGTGAGCGAGCTGCGGGAGCGGTTGGCTGCTCTGGGGCAGGCCCTCCTGCTCCACTGGCGGCTCGATGCAGAGCTCGGGCACCATCGTCATCGTCTCGGCGACGCACTTCGGGAGCTTGCGACCATCGTGAAGCTCCTCACCGCACTTATCACAGAGGCGAAGGCCGTCAAGGCGGCAGGCGACAAGGCTCGGCACGAACCGCTGGGCGATGGCGGCGATGGCACTCATGCTCGGAAGGTGTTTCCCGAGAGTGTCGACGCGCCTGTCTTCGTCCCACAGGGCGACCTCGGGTTCGTGCAGGAGGCCGATTGGGACATCAGTTGGCGAATGTGCACGTGCGGCGCTACGTTCATCCCCGTGTACTGCGACGCTGCGGCGGCGGTGCCCGAGGCAGACGTGGACGGCAGCGCGCAGGGGGCCCGAGGAGCAGCATATCGGCGCCATCGAAGCCGCCGTGGCCGCCGTCGGGCAGGGCGACGGTGGGCTGGCGACGCCGCTCGAGAGACCCGAGTTCGGGGTCCACCCCCCCCGACTCGGAGTATGCTGAGGGTGGGGCTGCTGAAGCGGGTGTCAGCGTCACGGAAGCGGAGGTGGCGATTGTCCAGCAGATCCATGCCCAGACCGTCGGGGCCCTCAACGCCAAGAGGACGAGGAAGTGGAGCAGACTTCATCCCCAGCCGTTTAAGCGGAAGCTGGCCAGGTTGGAGCGTCAAGAAGACCCGCGACGGAGGAGACAAACAATGATACGCCCTGCAAGCAGCAGTGACGGTTTGCGTGCATCGTGCCAGCCGTGCCGTGGCCGTCATCTCCTCGGCCGTGGTGCTCGTGTCTGGCATGGAGTTGCACTTCGTGGACCCCGTCGTTGCGCCCGTCGTGGTCTTCTTCTGATCCGCTTTCGGTGCGTGTCTTGCATTGCGGGACACGGGCTCAGAGGCTCCAGAGGCTCCAGAGGAAAAAGGAGGAGGACGAGGAGGAGGACGAGGAGGAAGAGGAGGAGGAGGAGGAGGAAAAGGAGGAGGAGGAGGAGAAGGAGGAGAGGGAGGAGGGGGAGGAGGCGGGGGAGGAGGCGGAGGAGGAGGAGGAGGAGGACGACGAGGAGGGCGAGGAGGAGGAGGAGGACGACGAGGAGGAACAAGGAGGAGGACGAGGAGGGGGACGAGGAGGAGGAAGAGGAGGAGGAGTAAGAGTAAGAGTAAGTGTCCCAGGACAGTGTCCAGATCCCTGACGCGTTAAACTGGTAGCCCGTTCTGGGCTCTCTTGGCTGTTCGCCCGCAGGTCTCCGAGAGGCATTCGGGTGAACACCAACCGACATGCTCAACCCTCGGACGCCTTAAACGGGAAACCCGTCCAATCAACCAACATCAACACGGGAGCCCCTTCTGTGCTCTCCTGGCCTTCTCCTTGGTACTATAGACCTTAGGCCGTAAACCTCTCTGAATTCGATAGAGATACTCAGCTCGGGTAGGCGTAACCTGATCGGGGCGGGCTCTTCCTAACCCAACGAGCTGCTGATCACAAAACATGCCACACGACGCACAAAACCACACATTGACATCCTGATTAAACCGCATCTTGTGCGAGTGATGGGCCACTCCCCCCGCGAGGTGCAGCTCGACCCCCCTTGGAAGTACCCGAAGGGACCCATCAAGAGCAATCAGCCTGAAACACGGAGAAGCACGCCACTTCCGCAACTCGGAGCTCGACGAGGACCCACGACACCGACGGCACCGACGCCCCGATTCGTCGAGCGCGTGCTGGGTGTTAAAACCAGACAGGGCCTCAGGACAAGGGGGAGGCGGAGGAGGAGGAGGAGGAGGAGGAGGAGGAGGAGGGGGTGAGGAAACACTACCTCCCGCTCCTTCACTCACAACTCCGAGCGGCCCCATCCGCCCCTGGCGACCTGCCTTCTTATCGAGCTCCTCCGCGGCCAGGGCGTCCAGCGACGCCCTCAGCAGGCGCATCCGCACGAGGAACGCCTCGTGCTCCACCTGCTGCACTTTGGCCCTGACCGCCTGCGGCAACCGAACCTCACGCGCCGCCTCGCCCGCCAGCCTGTCGGCCAGCGCGTTGCCCCGCACCAGCCACCGAGGCGTGCCGCTCTCCTCGGCCTCCGCCTCGGAGAGGTGCGGGTTCACGAACAGCACCACAAAATGAGCAGGCTCCCGCTCCTGGAACTCGATGCCCACGAGTGCCCAGAGCTCCGCCAAATCCCCTTGCGGCTGGCGGTACCGCTGTGCGTACCATCCATCATACACCATCTTAGTATCACACACATACACTGCAAAGCCACTGGTCAGCCGCGCAGCCATGAGGAGCATCGTCAACTCTCCTCGCGGCACGGTCTGCTCGCCAACAAGCGGGCCCTGCAGCGTCGCGATATCCTCCAGGTCGCTCTCCGACTTGACGATTGACAAGCCACACCCGACGCGACGGAACCTCGGATCGCGGGAGTCGGGCCCCCCACTAGCGTCCCCGAACATCACGACGGGCGCATGCTCCGCTCCAGGTCCCAGGCTGTCCGCCTCCGCGCCGTTCAGCAGAGCGCCTGTTCCTGTCCAAGCCGCTGCCGACAGTGGTGGCGGCAAACTGGTCCATCCCTTGGGGATGACACCCCTCAGCCAGAAAGCCTCGTCCGCCTGGTGCCGGGCCGTCGCCTTCGGAAGCAGGGCCTCCGACTTGACGTACGCCTCTGAACAGGCGTTGTGCTCACATCCCCAGTACCTGTGGAAAGCGTCTTCCTTCTTGACCTTACACCGCGGGCACCACGGGCTGACCTGGACCTTGGAGGCGGCCTCTGCCCTCCGTGCCCTGGGCCAAGCCCCACCAGCTGCAATAGATAGAAGAAGCTCCTCCAGTCGCCGTCCACGTGGCAAACCACGAAGATACCGAAGCAGAAACCGCAGTGAAAAATGATCCGCTCCCTGCTCCAAGCCGGCCCCACAGAAATGCTTGGCTGCCCGATCCCAATATCCAACAGCAGAAGAATAATCGAAATCAACGAAAAAGCCACTAAGGTTGTTAAGAGCCATCTCTGCGCTGTATTCGGCCTCAGGAAATTGCCAAGAGATATCGTCCGAAAAATGCCAGCATGTCGGTGACTCGGGTACCCAGCCGCGCTCCATCAAGGTTAAGATAATGGAGAAGGAGGAGGAGGAGGAGGAGGAGGAGGAGGAGGAGGAGGAGGGGGAGGGGGAGGGGAGGGGAAGGGGGGGGAGGGGAGGGGGGATGGGGCAGGAGGAGGAGGATGAGGAGGCGGAGGAGGAGGAAAAGGAGGAGGAGGAGGAGGAGCAGGAGGAGGAAAGGGGCAGGAGGAGGGGGGGGGGCAGGAGGAGGAGGAGGAGGAGGAGGAGGCCCGCAGCCAATCGGAGTCGACTGCAGGTGGAGGGGGGAGCTCGCCCTCTGCGTGCGGCCGCGAGGTGGGCCGACATGTGCAGCGCGGACTGACGCCTTGCCGTCGGAGGGGGTGGGGGGGCAGCCGAGAGGCAGCCGCAGCCTTCCCGCCATGCCCGAGTCCGCTCGTGATGGGCGTGTTTTCCACCACCACCACCACCACTATAAGGTGGAGGGGGAGTCCTCCTCCTCCTCCTCCTCGTTCTCCTCCTCCTTCTCCTCCTTCTCCTCCTCCTTCTCCTCCTCCTCCTCCTCCTCCTCCTCCTCCTCCTCCTCCTTCCCCCCTCCTACTTATGGTGGTGGTGGTGGTGGAAACCAGGCTCATTAGCTCGGGGCCGCTTCCCGGGGGCCTCTCCCCAGGGTGTCTTATCTTTCGGGGCGTAGCCCGTCGTGGCGATGACCCAGCGATCCAGCGCATCGGAAAAATCAGGAAGGAGGTTTTCAACCAATTTCAGCTCCTAGGGGGGCCTCCTTCAAACACCGAGTCAGGATGAAAAATCAGTCCTGGGGAATGGGTCGAGACTTCTGGGGACCGCGCATTGAACAAATCACCGCCTCGGATCTCTGGGGAGGAGCCCTCAGAACGGAGGGAAGACGCCGTGAAAGCGCTCCATGCGTCTCCTCCTCCTCATCCTCCTCCTCATCCTCATCCTCCTCCTCCTACTCCTCCTCCTCCTCCGCGCTCTTCCTGCTCCTCACCCTCGCCTCCTTCACCCATTATTCCTCCTCGCTCCGCCTCCTCCGCGCTCCTCCTCCTCCCCCGCCCTCCTGCACCATCTCGCTTTCCTCCTCCTCCTCCTCCTCCTCCTCCTCCTCCTCCTCTTCGCTCCACACCGACATCCCGCTAACACGACCAGCGGCGGCGGCTTCTTCCCATGTTGCGGCTTCTCGGCTGCAACCCGCTCTCTGCTGGTCTTCTGCAGAATAGGGGAGATCTTGAATGAGGTGGAACGAGTCGATATTGTCGCCGTGGCAGGCACCAAGAAAAGCGAACGCAACATGGGCGCGAAAACGCTCAAGCGCTACATCCCGGGGGGACTCGTCATCGAGGCGCCATAGGGCAAGGCACCACATTCTAACAATCCATGTGGGTGTGCAGTTATACTTCCACATCTGGCCAGAGAGCATCATGTTTTTACGTATGATGGGTAGTCCTCCGGTGGCACTGGGACGAGGAGTGGATTCTTCCCCATCTTACTTTGTTCGTTTTGTTTTTTTTTGTCCTTGAAGGGCGTCTTGAGGGCCTCACGCAAGTTTGAGGTCCCGTTGGCGCTTTCTGGGGCCTCGGGGGGATTCCTTGGGCCGCCCTGCCAACTACGAACTCCCTGAACCACCGGGTCACGATTTGGAATGCTTCGGGGGGCGTCGTGGGGCCATATTGGACCGTCATGGGATTCTCTTCGGGCTATATTGGGGCCCTCTTGGACTGTTTTGGGGGTTCGTTGGACTGCCTGGAAGCCCTTTCGGATAGTTGTGGTATGATTTTCGGGCTTCTTGGGCAGTTTCGGACGCCTGGAGAACCGAAGTGTCGAGCATCCCCAAATCTTTCCAAAACAATTGAAAATCAATGGTTTCACGCACTTCGGAAGCCTCTTGGGAGCGTTTTTGGGGGGTCGGATTCGGGCGTCTAGTGAGAGTTTGGGGCCTCTCGGGGCCCCCAGGGGGTCGATCGGCCGCCCTCCTGACCAGTTTGGGCCCGTTGCCTGGGCCCAGCGCGGGTTTCCAGGAACTCCCAAAAACCCAAGCGGGGGTTCTTCAGGAGGGAAAAAAAACAGACACAATTAATCGTGACTCCCAGGAAAATATGGAAAAAATTGGAAGTGGGGGGGAAGACAAAAAAAACCCAAAAATATGAAAATATTGGGAATCCGGTTATTGGTGTATATTTATTTGTGTGTCCCAGGGCCCCTTCAGTTCTGCAAGGGCGCCCGGGTGGCCCCCGGGGCCAGGGATCTGGCAGGTTTCGTTTCGGAGGGGGGGGGGCCCAGGGTCCCGGATTGTAGATCGATGGAGGAAGGGAGCATATGATATGGAAAGGTAGTTCCACGAGGTGCCGACGATACTGTTTTAGTTGATGAGGCAAGATGGACCATAGCATCGGAATTCTCGCAGGGCTACCGAAGCTATGTTGGCCGCTTGACGAGCAGCTTCGTGCCGTTGTGGTACCAAGCGCAGGGAGCGCAGGGGCGGGCACGTAGCATGCGCCGGCGTGCCTTCAGCAGTGTCTTGGTATGCTGCGTGGAAGAATGAGGGAAAGTGGAACGGCACGAGTTGCGCGACGTTGGATTGCAGAGGCGGGGGAGGTAATGCGGCGAGGAACGCGCACGTGATGACAACGAGGTCACGGCATCCGCCTCCTTTCTTCAGGTGCGCAAGTGTATCGCAAAGATCCCAAGTGGCGAATTGCGCCTTTTTTATGTGCCACTAAAGCTGTAGCACATGGCAGCGCCCCCCAACTAAGGGAGGAACAAATGTGGGCCTCGGAGCGCCCACGTAGCCCCCAGACAGGCTGTTTGGTGTATCCTGCGCGCCGGTTCGCGGAGGATGAGAGCACTCAACGTCGCCCCCCATGTATCCGGGTTGCTGCTTCGGGCCCCCTTTCCACAAAAGTCACGTGCGAGGTCCGATCGGCTCGAGGGCGGCCCGCGCACTTCGGGCCCCGTGCCTGGCAAGGCTTTTGTCGCGCGCGAATTTGTTGACCAGCCGGGCGACTCAGACTGCGGATTCGCGCAGGGAAGGAGGGGCACGGCGGTTCTTGCATCGAACGTTCCGTCGAGCCGGTGTCGACGTGCCCGCGGGGCGCGCTGCTTGCGTTTGACAGACATCGCGTCGGGCTGACAGCTAGGACCAACCCGGGAGTTTCAACGCTCGCTCTTGCAGGGATTTGCTTACAATGCTCTTCTCGGCGGTCTTGGAACCCTCGCGCTCACGACGAGCGACTGCGCGAGGCCGGATGCCGCACTCGCGCGGTTCCGCGGCAGTGCTGCGGCCTGGCAGGCCGCGGACTGGAGCGGCAGCTGCCCTCGCGCGATGTCGAACCGCGATCGTTCGAGCACTGGGAACGCATCTGGCGCTCCGTATTCGTCGGGCTCGGCTGACTCAGAGCTGGGCCATGCGGCCCGCCCGCCGCCTCCGGGCCCCCCATGCTCCGTTCAGAGGGTCCTCATCTTCTGTTCGGAGACGTCAGCCCGCGCGCGCGCCCACGCGCCCTTCAGTCTAGCGCTGGCCTCCCGGGCCTCGCCGGAGGCTCCGGCGGGGCCGCGATTGCCGAAGTGGCCGATGTTCCCAGGTCCCCCTGCACGGGCGAATGGATTGCCTTTTTGCCCGCGGGCGCGGGGGTCTCTGTCTGCCGATCGAGGCAGCGCGCCGTCGCCACCCTTCCGGGCTCGCCCACCCCCGCGCCGCCGCAGCCCGCCAGGCCCGAGGGCAGCCGCCCCAACCCCCAACAAGAATCAGACACTTGCTAGGCTTGTATTCGCGCGCGCTGGGGGCGCGTGAATAATTTCTCGGGCGCGCGGACATCTAAACATATGCCGCGTCGTCTCGCCGCTCAATGTCTGCGTTCGTAGTCGTCAGAGGTTCTTTTGCCGGGCGGGTGCCAAACGAGTTTTTGCTTTTCAGGTTCTTGATCGTTCGAATGTTCGCCAAACGCGGCATTGGCCCCGTGCTTTGCGGACGTTGCGACGCGGGGTCCGTCGACGCGCCGAGAACTCGGGCCCGCGCAGTCGCGCACCAGCCCCGCTCACGAGGTCGATGCTGCGAGCTGAAGCGAATTGCGGAACTTGCTGAGCCGGGTCTTTTTTCGCCCGCCCGCGATTTCTCGTCGCGCCGACATCGCAGAGCGGATTGCGCTCGGACAACGGCAGGATGGGCCCGGAGTGTCCTGGAGAATTCCGCTCCGGATGTCGAGGTGAATTTTGTGCGGAGTTTTTGGCTAAGAATAGAGACTCGCAAATCCACGCGAAACGCGCATTGTTTTTTCACTCGACTCTTCGGGGCGATGCAGCGGCAGGAATCCACGCGCAAAGCCGCTGCAGCACCTCTGCAAGGTCGGCGCAGTGAGACCTTGTACCGAGCGCGCGGGGCGGGGCAGGCGCGGCGGCGCCGGCTGCCTCGGCACCGCCATCTAGGTTCGGCGTTCCGAGCGGCGCGGGGCGGCGCGGCAGGGGCGCCGTCGGCGGCGGCGGGGGGCGGCGCGAGGGCGGCGGCCGAGGCGAGAAAGGGCAGCGGCAACACAAACGGCAAGATCGCCGTCGCCAACGCAAGGCTCAAGCCAACGCGAGGCTCACCATGCTGATCTCAAGGCTCACCATGCTGATCTCGCAGAAACGGTGTGCATCCGCAGCGGGATGCCGACCGCGACGACCAGCGTGGCGGGCGCGCGCAAAGCTCGGGGGCCTCGAGATGGGGGCCAATGCGAACGGGGGTCAGCCAGAGCGCCCGATCTCGCAGGATCCCGCAGGGCCAAGGCCGCATTGGCCCAGTCTTGGGCGCAGGATCCTGCAGGATCTTGCAGGATCTTTCGCGTTGACCTGGGCTTGGGCGCAGAATCTCGCAGGATTCTGCAAGGCCTGACTGGCAAGGGCCTGGATTGACCAGGGTCGGGAGATCCCCGAAAAGAAGCAGTTGCGTCCAGCAGCGAGCTTGACTAGGGGTTGAAGCCGGCGCAGCGCGAGGGGGAGACCATGGACTTCAAGGCTCGAGTGCTCGCGCGCGCGCAGGCAGCGGCCGCCCTGCGCGGCGCGGGCAAGCGCTGCGGCCAGAACGACAACCCATCGCGCAATTCACTGCGGGGTGAGATGATTCTATCAGACAGGGAAATCCTCGCCGTCGGCATCAAGGCGCCCAGGGTCGGGGAAGCGCGCCCGCATTTTCGGCGCTAGATCTTGGATGGAGCCAACGGGGAGACGCCCGCAGACATCATCCCGACAACGTTCCAAACATTTACGAAGGCCGAAGATCAGCTGCGTCTTGCCGGCACAGATAGCGGCTTCGATGGGGGCGGAGGGAAGGGTCTTCCTCTGCTCCGCAGCTCCGAGGGGCCTTTTGGAACG